AAAATATAATCTAATTTTTAAATGTTTTATCATTCCTTTTTAAAACAATCGAACTTTTCCATGTTTTCTTCTGTAATTTTTTTCGCATTCTCCCTTCCCCTGTTCCTCCCTCCCTTCTTCTTTAATAGGTAAAATATCTGAAAAGATTGTTGAAGCTCTTTCACTACACTCTCCACTTTCTCAACACTAACTACCAGCCTGAACTGTCTAGTGTTCCTATCTGAGTCCTTATACTTTTATAATACATATGTCTCTAATGCTTATGTATGATTCCCTCATGGTTTAAATAAATGATATTGGGGGCTGGGGAGATAGCTGAGCAGCACAAGCACCTGCCTCGCAAGTGCAAGGCCCCGGGTTCAATCCCCTGTACCAATTAAAAAAATAGGTAAATAAGTAAATAAATAAATGATATCATATTGATGCACACTGCTTCAGCCTTCTTCTCTCCACTACACTTTTTACATCCATCCATGTTGACACCCATAACTTGGCTTCATTTGTATCTGGATTGTATTTCGTTATATTTAAATTATTTTATTATAGAGAACTCTGTGATAAACGTTCCTGAACATCGAGACACACACATTCGAGGAGTCGCCCTTGGGGATTTTAAATGAGTAGGTGAACGGCATCGCCCTACGGAACCCCAACACCACCTGTGATTCTGGGCTTGCTTCAGTCTCAACCACTGCAAGTAGGTTTCACCCCCACTCCTCAGCCCTCTTCACACACTGTGCTGCACCACCTTAATGTCAGAAGCTTACAAAGCCCCTGGAGGCTCTGAGATGCCCAAGGTCAGAGGAAAATTCATTGATTGACAGCTGCCAAATCTTAAATGTAGGCTCTAGGAAAACAAACTAAGAAGAGTGGAGAGACTAAAGAGTCACACACCTTATCCAAGGCCACCATGCAGGCCAACGCTTCTCACACTGCCTGGTGCATGTGAACTACTTGGGAATCTAAGACCCTGGTTCTGATTGCTGGGTCTAGATGGAATCCCAGATCCTTCACTTCTAACCAGTCTCAGGGAATGCTGCTAATTTGGGGCACACTCTAAGCAGCAGGGGGCAGAACAGAAGCCCGCCTAAGGTGAGGACCAGATTTCCGGGTTCCTGAGGAACCTGTGGTCAGCAGCTGATGCCCTAAGTGGCTCCCCGAAGGCATGTTACTGCCAAACTGATGATGAGTCGTGTCCAAGTGTCAGGCAGAGTTCTTTCGAAGAAAAATTAAGGAAGCGAAAAGAGAAATGAATAATACAGGACATAAGAGGCAAAAAGTAAGAGCTAAACTCACAGGCTCTCCATTTCCAAGCCACAATTCTGTCCCCAGAATAGGAAAGTCAACTCTAGCCAACGATGCTGGCTCCAGTAAACTTCCGGAATCTTGGTCTATCCTCAGGCAAAGCAACGCTGCCCAGGTCAGGCTACTCTGCTGATGCTCTCTGTTTTCCTTCTCCTGAGCAGCACTAATGAATGTTTTCAGGAACATCCCCTGGATAACCAATAATAAACCTTCTCTATCTCTGCTACCCTTCCTTGAGCTCCCCCTACTTTGGATGATGCAGTAATTACCATGTTCTGGAACACGTTAGCCTTAATGGTAGGCAATCCTGAAGAATTCACAGTTATTATCAAGTGTGTTACCATAGTGTCTCTGGAGAAGGCAACTTGCCCAGAAGCAAGGACTGGTTGTGCCTTGCCATCCACTCACATGTAAGAACTCAGCAAAGGTAAGTACTAACCAACTGGTCCTCACCAGGTGCTGTGACTCAGTCTGACAAAATGGTTCCAGCTGGGTCTCCTCGGAAACTGTGGGCTCCAGGACTCAGCATGGAGGTCAGCATTCTACTGCAGGTGCAAGGGCAGGTGCAAGGGCAGGTGCAAGGGCAGGTGCAAGGCTCAGGCCTCATGCATGCCAGCCAGTGAGAGACAGCAGTGAGAGCCAGTCACTATACTTCTGGTGGCCAAAAACCAAAGAAATGAATGAAGTAAGCTTCAGAGAAGGAGCCCTTCTGGACCCTGCAA